TCACTTTTTCTCCAACAACATGGAGAATCCAGGCGAAAGAAGAAAAACAACCGAGGACATGGGGCACGGACGGTTTCAAGTTCCCCTTACTACAGATAAACAACCCCGTAACTGGGGTAGATCCAAAATAGCATTTTACTAAAAAACACGACCAATTCGCCCGTATGTGTAATTTAAGGAGACAAGAAGCGAAAACAGTCGATAATTGACGATTTATTTGTTTTTCCGTGTATTGTTTTGCTTTGGACGGACTCTGAGGGGCGCCTTGAAACAGTTGTTCGTTTCGGATTGGATCACCAGGAAGTGGGAGTAGCTGAAGCATTCTTCTGTTCTGCACACTCCACACCGAAAACATTCCAGTGCTGGTTTTGTCGCAAATCAGTATTCAGAAGATGTAGTCCTTTTAAATCTAAATTACAGTGTCGGAATGCTAATTTAGTAATGAGGGAATTGCAAAGGAAATGAGTGATACGATTAAATTAGTATTTGAAAAAAAATGCTCATGTTTTCAAATTGCTTCACACCTAATCCACACATTTTCCTACTGATCCTCCTCATCACTGTACTGTAGTTGTGGTGATGATGATGATGACGATGATGATGACGGATTAATGATGGCTATTGATCAATTCTAAATATCTGTTAGTATTATTAGTTCACAACTCGAGTAACCTGAAGATTCTGTGCTAAAATAGGTCATTAAATATTAAAACATTTTAGATTAGATAACAACTTAATGCTTTGACAACATTTCATGTCTTGATTTGAAACATTGGCCAATGCATCATTGTTAAACTGTCATTGTCAGGCGGGTGAAAAAAAAAATAGAAGTTGTATGCCCTTATTTCTAACATTTTTTTTAAAAAAATCTTTCAATCAAGGGAACAGAGGTAGAGAATGGTAAATGTAAGTGATAAAAGAGCCACAGACTTTTTACCAGCCTGAGTACTGCCCAAAACTCCCATGTTGGAAATCTATTCTATTCCCAAACAGGACCATTTCTATACCACAAAACCCAGACATAAACAAGAACTGTTCACAGAAATGTGGAAGTTGTGCAGATGTCAGAGATGTGACTAAAATAAGTGTAAGTCGGAGAGTTCCAAAACATGTTCTGCTTTTGAAAAAGTGTTTTTGCAACTCTGCAATGGATGGCATGGGGTCACCAAAGAGCCCTTGGATTTAAACAAATCACAATATCAAACCTTTTCGCGCAAATATTTTTTTTACAGAAGGAACTAAAGAAGATAAGAAGGCACTACATATGCTTTTATGATAATGAGCTTTTTTAAATATTTAAATATGTAACAACATTTTATCGGTTCATTGCAAATTAAAGCTTTTATGTGTTACAGAAACTTTAACGCCACTTCCTTGCTGTAGACAGTGGCCCTTGCCTGTCCTGTCGACTAAGCATTCCTTAGAGGTCAAAGCTGAGAGATAAAATGACAGTTAATGAAGCTCTATCTTGATTTAAAGGGATATTCTATCGTTTTTTTTTTCATATTAAACTATGTTATTCCCTAAACTAAGACGAGTTGATACATACCTCTCTTGTCTAATTCCTCTGGCGCGTGAGACACTTAACTTAGCCCAGTTCAATCATTAGGATCCAAGCAGAGAAGCGACCAAACACCTCTACGTTTTCCCTATTTAAATACAGTTACACAAGTAGTGTAACTCGACCAAGAATGGTGACACAAAATAAAATGTTCGACTCGGTGCATATTTATCTATGGACTCAGCGCAGTAATATCATCACTCCGGAGAGGGAGAGGATTTTTCACGAGTGATTATTTTATGGCGCCAAATGAACCATTGGTCTAATAACACATTGGTACCTAGTCGACCATTCTCTGAGATTTGTTTTCATGATAATCGAATGTAAAGTGTTTTTTCTCTATAAACTGTTTAGCGTATAATGCTAGTATATGGGGGCATATAATAAGCAAAAAGAAAGTGCTAGTTAATACCACTAACAAGGCTCAAAATAGCACAGACTAACACAGTAACATAATGAGGGTCCCTGCATGCAAAGTGAAGCATTGAGAACTTTGTAAGTGCACTTTAATAAAAAAGTAATAAAAAGTGTTCAGTTTAATAAGAAGATATTTTATAAAGACACTCCACAGGCAGGAGCCATCTTTGGAAAACAGTCTTGATAAGTCAAACCACGAACGCTGTTCATACAGTTTTGAACAACTCCCGACTTTTCAAAACTGTTTTTGATATAAAATATCTTCTTATTAAACAGTCTGTACACTTACAAAGTTCTCAATGCTTCGTTTTGCATGTAGGGACCTTCATTATGTTACTGTGTTAGTGTGGGGCTATTTTGAGCCTTGTTAGCATGTTTTTTCTGCTTATTATATGCCCACAAATACTAGCATTATGATCCAAACAGTTTTTAGAGATAAAATTCTTTTCATTCCATTATCATGAAAACAAATCTCAGAGAATGGTCGACTAGGTACCAATGTGTTGTTAGACCAAAGTTCTCCTTTAAGTGCTATCAAAGTGTCTCGCACGCCAGAGCGATTAAGTGCACACACTGAGACGAGGAAGTTTTGTATCAGCTCGTCTTAGTTAAGGGAATAACATAGTTTAATATGAAAAAACAGTGGAGTATGCCTTTAACACAAATCGAGATGTGGGCGCTCTCTAAAATGAAGTCAGCAAAAGCTGGTTGAAAAAATGATTACAGTCACTCTTAAGGTGGAGGTAATCATAGAAAGCATTGGCTTTCACTAGCAAATTCTAATGATTCAACTAATTATTGTCCTTTTGTGGAATTTGTTTTCACAGGAGAAAGGGATAAAACGTGATATTTCCACTTGTTCCATTTCTCACAATTTACATTTACAACATAAAGTGCAAAAATGTGTGCAAAGACACCCCTTTTGTAAATCAGTAAAGTAACATCATGGAGTTACCTGCCCGCAAAAAGTACATTAAACCCCCAAACTGTGATCCTAGAACTTGCCCTATAGCCCTGTGTTTTTATAAGGTTACAATTCTGGATTGGTGCCTTGAACAAGGACAGGGCGAAATTAGAACCTGCCTCCTAACATTCAAGCATCTTTGGTGTTTACCAAAACAAGCAGACAAGAAAACTGACAAGCTGTTTAACAGAGTGATCAGATGCATTCAATTCATTATAAAAATACGCTACTGTTCAAAAGTTGGATTTTTTTTAGATGTTTTTGAAAGAAGACTGACCAAAGCTTTATTTATTTTTATAAAAAAGTGAACAAAAAATGTAAAAAAAAAATAAATAAAATTTTTATTTAAAATGAAATGTATTCCTGTGATACATATTATATAAATATAATAAGACAAATATGTAATGTAGCCTAATGCAAATATAAAAAGACTTTTAAAAGATACGTGGAAAACAGTCGTATCACAACATGCCGAGATATCTTCAGGATTCATTCAGTCGTCAGGGTCTTTGTACATATCAATAATCAGTGAACAGGATATAAGCTACTTAATCCTGCCTAGAGCCCCCCACCCTCAGTGACTTACGGTCCGTGCACTCAGTGACCTGAACGCATATGCTCAACGAGAGCTGTGCCCAGATTGACCAAATCTGAGGTTTCTGCAAGGCTCAGACTCAAGTCTAGAGCCATGTGATTTGCAGGAAGGGGAAGGAGACCCCCTCCCACAAATTACTCTCTCCCCCGGCCCACCCCCCCAAACCTGCCCCTGAGTGGCCCCTGCCAGGCTCTGTTTCCAGGAAAGGGGCCTAGTGGACAGGCGCAGGGAGAGCCTGGCTCATTGAGAAAAACAAAAACAGAGAGGGGAGGTGGGAAGACTCTCCCTACTTACATAACAGACTAGCAGTGAAAAAAAAAGCCTCTGCCACCACCACCATACTTGAAACCCGTCTGTCTGCTCTTTACACAATGCCACACCCTATAGAAGGGCTCTGCTAAAACTTCATCATTTGGGACAACAATTTTATTTATTGGACAGAGAAAAAAAATAATCATTTTAATAATTTAAAGATCGCCAGCTGGATGCTCATTAGATGCATTGAACATTAGGCCATGCGTAGGCCTAATGCTTGCAAAAATCGTTGCTGTTGTGCATGGATTTTAAGATGGGAACAAATAATAGCTGGATGTAAATCTGATTTTGAGGTAGATAAGTGTAAAGAACATGTTCAAATATTTTTAGGGTCGTAGAGTTTGTATGCACATGTGATGCTCATACCAGCATAGGCATTTTGACACTTTTCTGCCTCCTTGTGGTTACACTAGAAAGTGAAAAAAATAATAATAGCTATTTGTTGTGAAGATGAAGATTCTTTTCAATATTTATATTTTAATCGATTAAACAATTTTAGTCAAGGCACTTTTATTCAAATAACCTAAGCAATTTTTCATAATAGCCAGTGGTATTCACAGTAGCCCACACAGTGTAAGTTAGAGAAGTGCAGAAATGAAACTAAAAAAGTATAGAATATTCATATTTCATTTATTACCTGATCATTAAACCAACTCTAAAAATGTTGACCATCTCGGTTTGAACAGGATGTGATCTGCTTTTCTTCTTCCCAAACAGGAACTGAACCAAACAAACATGTTGACAAAAGTCACTGCACACCTCAAACTTAGTAAGTAGTCATTGAACATGAGTGATGTAGATGATTCTTATAAAAATGCTACTTTTTATTCTATTTTGCAACACCAGTACTGTAGTCCAGAAAAATAGCAATGAAGACACTCAGGATTTTATTGAATTACAATTAGCAAAAACATATTTGAGTGAAAGTAAATGTTTCTACATTTCATTGTATTTACAAATTAAAAAGTAAAAATGTGTAAATTGAGTGGAATTCATAGGAGTGTGATTTGACATGAGCGACAATTAAAAAAGATAAGAGGATATATTTACATTATAATCACCATATGTATCAATAAATGTTTAAATAAAATGTTGATGTGTAAAAATGATTTTTTCCTAGAAATTAAGTAAAGATACAAGAATAAAGATACAAGGAAACCAATTAAAGTTTAATATGTCTAAAATAATACTTATATACAGTGAACTACAATTACTGTACTGCATTTTATAATAAACTTTCAGCCCAAATTTTCCCTCTCTAATCTAGAACAAATATTTCAAGTGTTACCAGTGTTCACAGTACACACAAGTTATTTGAAAAGTAATGGAATTTCATGCATTAATTATGAATACTGTTGCATAAATACAGAATAACATTATGAAAATATATTTCAATATAATGCAAAACAATGCATTTATAAGCTTCATGACATTCAGCCATTTTTACTTAAGCAAGTCAATTGGAAATTCCACATTATGAATGTAATATATGATCAATGTTCTGTGTAAAGATGATTAACACATTAGCCGCTATATTTTAACATCCAGAAAAACACATAATGGGAGTTGATATATATATATAAAAAGAATCCAAAAATTTCATTACCAAATCATGCTTAAAAAGGATTACCCACCAAAACTGAGCTCAAATTTATACACAGCACAGGTAGTCAGTAGGACACATTAGCCTATTTATTTTTTAAGGCAAATGTGTATTTTAATAAAACTATTATTTTCAAATCCAGAAAATACATGTAATGGTCCTTCCATTTTTGATAACAATTTAAAAAGGGCAAATTATAGTTTCTAATAATCAAATTCCTCTCAAAGCATTTCTTTTACATTTAACTTAAATCACTTTGTATTATTTTTAACAACTCTCTGACAGGTGCAATGGAGAAATATTAATGCCAACAGGCAACAGGGAATAAGCTTCTCTATTGTACTCACTATATTTAATTGAAAGATTTCTAAGGTAACAGGGTAAAATAAATTCTTAAAAGTAATAAAATAATATTCAGTCTATATACAATTATGACTTCAACAAACTGTGAATAACAGGGTTCTTAAAAATGCAAATGGATAACATATTTACAGATTCATTACCATATGCTCTCTCAATTAAAGGGATAGTTCACAAAAAATGTGATTTACACACCCTCAAGTTGTTCCAAACCTGTATGAGTTTCTTTATGTTGGGTTACCAACATTCTTCAAATTATCTTCTTTTGTGTACAAAGACATTTTTCATTTTGGTTGAACTCTCCCTTTAATATTATTTCTTTACAAGACTTTTTAACTGTTTTGCATTTAATGATTTCAAATAGAAGTAATATTACGGTTTTCACAAAATTACCACCCAAATCATTTTGCTGGCTCGTCATCTCTGAAAATATATCACATTGTAGCTCAGGAAGCTCAAACCCTTTCAAAAGCAACCCACCCAAAACATATATTATGGCACTCCAATTAACTAAATTATTTACATTAAATCTATTTTTTTAAATCAATGGAAATTTGAAACGCTCTTTCCCGTCACCAATTCCTCATATACAGACATTTCACTTAATTATCAACACTCCAAAACCTAATGAAAGTGACAAAGTGTCTAACATTAATTATATATAGGACTTTATGGGGCTCATATGGAAATCCCATGACATTACGAAGGCAGAGTCCGATTAAATGCGTCACACCTGCACATTGCAACATTAGAGAAGGTTTTGTGGCTTGCAGATTTGTACAGTTACAAACACATGTCCAAAAGCACTTGTTGATTCCAATCTGGGAAGCAAGCAAGGACCAACATCATCCTTGCGACACTCTAGGGATATATACATGCTATTCTTATTTATTAAGACTTGAGGAGACGGTCTTAGAACTCCTCATGTACGTTACGGGCATAGTCCATGAGTTTGCTGCCGGTGAAGTACTCGCTGTATTTAAGGATCTCTTCTAGTTCCAGGTTGTGGTTTTGGTTCTCATCCGCCACAGCAATCATCTGCTTGGCTTCATTCAGAGCATTGTACTCATTCATGGGGTCCATGTACTCCTGTGTGACAAAGAGAATATCAGCAAGAGACAAATATGCATTGAAATTAGTCGCTAAAAAAAGTGCTTTGATTCATTAACCAACCTCCAACTCTTCCTTGGTTACAATCGTATCATGGTTGGCGTCGATGACGTCTTCAAACTCCTTCTTCCTTTCACGAACCCAGTCGTCATCGATATCTTGGGCCTGCTGATTCTCCACAGTTCCCATGGGGAGGGAGATAAATTCAGCAAGAGTCAACTTTCCATCTCCATCTTGATCTGTTTAGTAATTTAAAACAGAGTACACTTAAGTCAAGTCCACTATTTATGTAGAGCTTTATACTACACCGATTGTTTCAACAAAGCTTCAAAGTAATAACCAGGAAAATAACAGAATCAAATCATGGAAACTTGAAAGACAAATATAAGACAAATTTAATTTTTGCGGTAAAGCCGCTCTAGTGTTACTTTACTCATTACTTAAAGTAATCTGATACTCGCATAACAATTCTTGGGTTACTTGTAATGCGTTCCGTCAACACTGGTCTCAATGTTGCAAAATTTATGAAACAAATTCGATTCAATTTAAATTCGCTATAAAGCAGCTCTAATAAGAATCACAAGAAATGTGTGGGCATTTCTTGGGTATGAATTGTAGCTTACCAAGATCTCGAATGATCTCCTTGACCATGTATTTGAGCATGCCTTTGCTGTGCTCTGGGTGCAGGAACGAGAGGAACTCCTCTTCATTCAGCAGCTGGTCAGCTGGAGGGTTATCTGCCTGGAACCAGCGATCCTTCAAGCTCTCCAAAACCTCCTGAGCTGTGGTGAGGTCATGTTTTATCGATATCATTAGAAATGGCTTAACTAAGAATATTATACAATACTAGACAACATTACAACTTACTTTCTTCATCCACTTTCAATTCTTCCTTGTTTTTGATCTTCTCAGCCACTTCTTTTTCATTGAAACCTTTGCTGGCTAAAAACTTCACTCTGTATTCATCCCAAGTTACATGTCCTGAGAGAGCAAATTGAGCAGATTCAGGACAAATTTCTCTTTCACATCACCAAAAATGTTTAGACCAGATGATATGCGTTATCAAAACATCATTCAAAAACTATATACATGTTTAACATACACTCACCTAAAGGATTATTAGAAACACCACACTAATACTGTGTTTGACCCCCTCTTGCCTTCAGAACTGCCTTAATTCTATGTGGCATTGATTCAACAAGGTGCTGAAATCATTCTCTAGAAATGTTGGCCCATATTGATAGGATAGCATCTTGCAGTTGATGGAGATTTGTGGAATGCACATCCAGGGCACAAAGCTCCCGTTCCACCACATCCCAAAGATGCTCTATTGGGTTGAGATCTGGTGACTGTGGGTCCCATTTTAGTGCAGTGAACTCAATGTCACGCTCAAGAAACCAATTTGAAATGATGCTTTGTGACATGGTGCATTATCCTGCTGGAAGTAGCCATCAGAGGATGGGTACATGGTGGCCATAAAGGGATGGACACGGTCAGAAACAATGCTCAAGTAGGCCGTGGCAATTTAAATGATTCCCAATTGGCACTAAGGGGCCTAAAGTGTGCCAAGAAAACATCCCCCACACCATTACACCACCACCACCAGCCTGCACAGTGGTAACAAGGCCTGATGGATCCATGTTCTCATTCTGTTTACTCCAAATTATGAATCTACCATCTGAATGTCTCAACAGAAATCGAGACTCGTCAGACCAGGCAACATTTTTCTAGTCTTCAACTGTCCAATTTTGGTGATCTCTTGCAATTTGTAGCCTCTTTTTTCTATTTGTAGTGGAGATGAGTGGTACCCGGTGGGGTCATCTGCTGTTGTAACCCATCCGCCTCAAAGTTTGTGTGTTGTGGCTTCACAAAAATTATTTCAGTCAAAATTGCTCTTCTATCAGCTTGAATCAGTCGGCCCATTCTCCTCTGACCTCTAGCATCAACAAGGCATTATCGCCCACAGGACTGCTGCATACTGGATGTTTTTCCCTTTTCACACCATTCTTTGTAAACCCTAGAAATGGCTGTGAGTGAAAATCCCAGTAACTGAGCAGATTGTGAAATACTCAGACCGGCCCGTCTGGCATCAACAACCATGCCACGTTCAAAAATGTTGTAATCATCTTTCTTTCCCATTCTGACATTGAGTTTTTAGTTCAGGAGATTGTCTTAACCAGGACCACACCCCTAAATGTTCCACACCCTGTTCCTAATAATCCTTTAGGTGAGTGTATAATTTCAATATGCCACAGGTCTAAATAATAACATACACCTACCATCCTGATCCGGGTCCACAGCACGAAAACTGAGCTTGTTTTCTCTAACAGCTTCCTGAAAATGTTCTTCTGTCTTCTCCATGATCCAGCGCTGCATTTCTTTAGCACTGACGCTCCTGTCTTTATTAAAATCCACCCTATAAAAATGTTTGTTTTGATGATGCAGCAATAGGTACAATTAGACAAAAAAAAAAAAAAAAAATAGAGAAAAAATATTTTTGTTATCACTTTTGCTCTCTGTATATAATCTATTCACAACTTGAATATATTTTTTTTTATCTTTCATGCTGCTAAGAGGATCAACTGCCTCATACAGTATACACTACAGAGTTTCAGGATAGACAGACACATTTAAATGCAGAGTAAATCTGTGAAAATATCACAGATATTATATGACAGTAAAGGCTCATCTAAGTGTCTCTATAGCCTATGGTGGGATTTGAACAAATGTGCATAATTAAAAATGCACAATAGCCTCTTTGAGCAGATTGTTCTCTAGTATGTTGGAAGAAACAGTTTTATATTTAAACCATGTTGTTAGGCTGCATGTCTATTTATCTTAAAATGCACCAATTCAGAATACCTAATGTTGGTTTGATTGCCTGTGTTATGAAAAAAATAAATATTTTTTATCTACGTGGTGTAATAGATTTAATGTGGTTGCAGTTCGGGTCACGGTCTTAATGTCAAACGGGTCAGATACGGAATTAAATTAGTGCTGATGTCGGTTAATGGGTCAGGTGTTCTGTTAAGTACTGTGGGTGCGGACCAGGAGTAGGTTTACTAAACAGGACCTGTGCAGGACTTTGACATGAACTTTTAAATACATCTTGTTGATCTTGTTGTGAATACCAGACTACTCCAATCATTTTATCTCCTCATCCTACGCCACTTTCTACCTGTATCCAATCAACAACTGACACATTGGGTTAAGCAACAAATACCTTTTGAATGACAAACATGTCATGGGAAAATGTCACTGTTTCCACAGCTGTACACCTACTTGGTGAAGATTTCAATGAGTTTCTTCCTGTTCCTCCTGGGCTCGGAGTCCTCCTCAAACTCCTCCATCTCCTTCCCCAGAAACACCTCCTGATGAAAGTCTTTATTGAGGTGACCATCCATCTCCATCTTCACACCATTCAGATGGTCCTGTGGAAGGATCTCGTTGTCCTCCTTACTGTTGTTGGGGTGTTTGTCTTTTAATGCTGATATATTCGCTGGCCTGGCCTGAACATTCAAAGCCAGCATCACAAATACTGCCAGGTGGCTAAGCTGAGATTTTCCCCGGTTAAACATGGTTTTACTGATAAATGTCATAAACAGGTGATGAAAGCCTACAAAAAGAAAAAAAATGTATTAAAACAAGCATAATAAGACCACAACATATTCAATGAGAGTGTAGGTAAACTGTACTGGTAAAAATAATAGACAAATCTAACATCAGACTAAGCTAATTTTTGGTTTTAGAGGCATTATGGGTGCTTTATTGGAAAAGACTGAAAACCAGCTTAAACCAGCTAAAACCAGCAGTTTTTTTCTCACTATGAGATCAAATACAAATGCTTTACTAATCAAGGTCGTGATCCATTGGCAGAAGTATAACAATTAATTAAGTAACCCGTTAGTTATACTTGCTCGGCTACCGTTTTATCAGTTAGTATTAAATATGAATCAGCTAATTTAATATGTTTGACAACACCTGCTGAACGAATAAAGATGCTACTTGTGAATGGAAATACATAACATCCCACCAACTCGTCTGTTTAAAAGGTCCTTACCTGAAATCAATTGTCAGATGAATGAATAGAAGACAATGGCCTAATATATATTTGAAGCACTGTGAACGGACTGTTTATGTCCAGCTCATCGCGCAGTTCCTGTACACGTCGTCACTCGAGACCAAACGCTGGTCACTGGAGCGGTTTATGGCCCTGGTAGTGACGTCCCCCCTCACTGGACTTCGATAAGACACACAACAGACGCAGGAAAAACTGACAACCGCACGACTTAACACAGACTAATACCAAACAGGCGTTCAGGAAAGATACATTGCTACGTTGTCAGACTCAGAAACCGTGCAGCCATCTTCTTCTTCTGTAACATGAGGTGACATGGAAAACGCATATCGCCATCTACTGTACCAGCTGATGAATGCGTAAGAAATATACAGTGATACGAATGTTTATCTTCTTATTTTTCTTATCATTGGAAAGCCTTAACGTTACTGGGTTAGTTTTTGAGGAATGTTAGGTCAAACTCACAATTGGGATTCTGTTTTACTCACAGAAAACAGGGTTCTGTTTTCTGTTTCCTAAACATTGGAAACATTATTTATTATAAACAAAGTCAGGTATCAGGTTTTTAAGATGCAGCTTTATCAGATGCAGATGTGTTGATGTCCTCACAGTCGGGCTGCTTTACCAAGGACCATATAGCCTACCGGTACAAGAGGGCCAAAATCGTCAGTGAGGAGATGGTGACATCATCTGATATTCATGTATAGCAGGGATGGGCAACTTCGGTCCTGGAGGGCCACTCCCTGTCCTACAGAGTTTAGCTCCAACCCTGAAAAATCACCTAATCCTGAAGACCTTGATTAGCTTGTTCAGGTGTGTTTGATTAGGGTTGAAGCTAAACTTTGTGGGACAGTGGCCCTCTAGGACCGAAGTTGCCCATCGCTGATCTATGTATCTTACTAACTGGATATTGAGAATTATTATAGACAAGTCCTTGGTCTTTCTGTGTATGAAGGTCCATGATAAATGAATCTGACAGTCCTGGACCTGGTACTCAGATCAAATGTGGGCAGGCAGATAGACCTCATATTGTGCCAAAGATCAACTTGAGTCTTTTCTTGTGTGATGGAGAAGTCCTGTGTTGTACATTTGCCCAGAGAAAGATGGTATTTAGTGTTAAGTGGACCGTGGATTTTGAATGAGTTGATATGCTGTGGGAATTAGATGACAGAAAGTTGCTTACTGTTCATCTTCTAGATGTTGTAGAGATCCTCTCAATTTTCTTGCTTTTCCTTTCCTTGATTCCCCTTGATTATTTAGAGAAGAATCTTTTGATTGCAAGTAACACAGTCTTTTTACCTTTTCAGGCATCATACCATCTGTAAGACAAGGAAATTGAGAGGGTCTCTACAACATCTAGAAGATGAACAGTAGGCAACTTTCTCTCATCTAATTCCCACTGCATATCAACTCGTACAATTTTGGATGCTGTTACATACTGTAAACTGAATGTAGCCTATTTGTTTGATATAATCTTTAAATTCTAAGATGAATACACATTTTTCAAAACAATTTTCACCCAGACAGTGATTTCAAAATGAATTTACATCACTTACATTACACACACTTATACACATGTATACACACACACACACACACAGGCACCAATGGTTCTTTGTTTTTATTATGGTACTGCACATGCACACATTTGTAAGAACATTGAAGTGATACTGAATTAAAAAAAATCACAAGCAGGAATACATTTTTAAATAAAATAAAGTACAATTTGTACATTGATTTCTTGATAGATTTAAGTATTATAAAATAATATACAGATAAGATTAGACTGAAACTTCTTTAGTTTTGTTAAGATGCATTTCTACAGCTTTATTTCCAACCACCAGAGGGGGGAAGAGCGTCAAGATTTATAGGATATCGCCCAGTAATGTTGCAATGGTGAGAGAAAGTATTGTATTTTTAACCACTAAGTTAAAAATGTACACAGTGTAACCATTTCAAGTGTGATATATTATAATAATAAGATTAGCCGATAGCCTATATTTTGTGCTAATGTGAAACAGTAAGTAAAATAATGGATGGATGAATGACAGAATTTGGTTATATTGATAATCACAAAAATTAAACTCACCTTTAATGTCATGTTTTGGCAGTTTTGTGTGTGCATATAGTGGGAAATATTACTTCTGACACTTTCATCTCAATGAGTACATGCAGATGGACATATTTCAAGCTATTGTGTGACTCCGTGTAAATCCATATATATGTTCAGCTCTTCTTTAAAACACAAATAACTAGTCAGCTGGTCAAAAAAACATTCTAGTGCCTTAAAGCAGTTCTGTTCAACTTGTTTGAATTCTCTGACACTAAATGTCACATGTACAGAGCTACTGCAAAGTAGGACACCACAACACACACACACGCACAGACTTACACCTACACACATGAACACGCATTCCCTAGAGTCTGCCTGCCAAAGAGCTCTCCCTCAAGACTTGAGTATTTCATTAGTGAGATAAAACAGGGCTGAGTCCACCGAGGTTGCCAGTTTCACTGATGAGGAAAAGAGAAGCAAGGGAATCAGTAAGAGAGAGAGAGAGAGCGAGAGACAGAGAGGGGGCTGTGATAAACTCTGCTGCGAGCCCTCTTGTAAGCAGAGTGAGAGAGTGCAGGAGCAACAGCATAAGATCTGGAGAGGGTGAAAATACAACTGTGAGCAAGACCTACCACAAAGTCCACGCAGATCTAAGCACTGTAAGGTGAGCGCGCATGTGTGTTTTTTTTTTTTTTTTATCACTCTGCAGAACTGGGCTGATACATTTGGGTGTGATTGTCCCATCAAGTGCTTCACTTCTTTGAAGTTCCTCAGAGGGGGACAGATTTTTCACTGCAAGAAAAAAAGGCAATAGAAGGCCAAAGGCTACGAAAACTGGAGCATTTCCAACTTCCAATTCCCTCAGGACCTTTTTTTCCCACCTAGGCTTCAAGAAGAAACCACATGTGAAGACTGATGGGGCAAGAGCTCAGCACTGCTTACCAGAGAATCGGCTCCGCTGCATCACCGCAGAGACTCCACATCCCAGTAGGAGTGAGACGGAGGTAAAGAACCAAAGAGAAAGTGAGAGGGAATCTGAGTAATCTCCATCCACTCCCCCCCTCCCTACCTTGGGACCTTCTTCAGTTGGCCTCTGGTACCCCCCACGGGGCAGGAAGCGTGAAAAATCTCACTAATGGGTTTATTTGCTGTCAGCTCAGCGACGACCTGTCATTTCCCAGGACTACTCCACACTTGACACATTTCATAGTCGAGTAAGCTTCGCTTTGTTTTTGCCAAAGGAGCTTGAGCCCCTGTCTCATACGGCTGGCTGTTGATGAGAAGATCAAGACCAGGCTGAGGTATCAGGTGGAGTGGACAAGTCCCTTAATCGCTTTGCCTGCCTATTACAGTATTTTTCTTCCAGTGAGGTCAAGCGTGTGGGACGTCTTGCTGTTTTTTCTCAAAGTTGAGAATTTCCCGCAAAGAGAGAGAGACTTTGAGAGAGTCTGCTTTCTGACCCAACCACGGTCTCCTGGCTGGTGTTCTGAAGATGCGTTGCTGGGTGCTAGCTGTGGTGACGGCAGTGCTCTGGAGCCAGTGCATCCTTCTAGGGTGGGCCGAGGCCAGGAAGGTGCGTAAGAAGCCGAAGGAGCTCGCTCCGCAGCACACCGAAGCATTCAACACCACTCTTTCCAACAGCGAGGAGCTGGATGGCAGCTCAAAGGTAGATATCATATGATGCTCTCTTTGCTTTTCTCATATAGGTTTAAGCTCTGTTCATTTTCTAGCTCTGCACATGGAACTTCTTGTTACTGTATTGTCATTTTACCCTTGTTTGATCAATGTCAGAAACAAACATAAAAAAATATTTAAAAAAAGGCCCCTGAACAGCTTTTTACTGAGACGACATCCTCAAAAGTGCACATTTGTACCTTATCTACCCCTAAAAGATGCTTATTATTACCTTAGAGTAATATGGAGTCAACAGTGTATAAGCCAAAGGTACAATTTTTGCACATTTATTTCTGACAGGGTGTCACATGGCTATTTACTTTGTGTTTTTGATTTTTTTTTTTTTTGTGTGCGTGTAATTGGCTTGTTTTATGTGTCTTCATTTTAAACATCTGATATCTCAGGAATCAGTCAGTTTAAAGGCTGTAAAAAGACACAGACAGCTGACGCCACTGTTACTCGTGTTTTAACTGTCTTGGAGCTCTGTTTTATTGAGTACCTAAACCTAACTGGGTGCTATACAGTAAGTAAAGTCACCTGAAAAATTATAGAAAACATTTATTTTTGCGTCAATAAATGAATTTCTAAAAAGAGATAGTAAAAATGTGAATGTATTGTGTATGCCATTCAAAAGTTTGGAAAAAATAAAAAAATTGCATTAAATTGATCAATGAGACAATAAAGACATGTTAAAGATTTATATTTCAAATAAATGCTGTTCTTTTTAGCTTTCTATTCATCAAACAATCCTTGTTACAGTGTAATTATACAATTAAATTCTAAGTAATAGTAATTAACTACATGTACGTACTATATAATTAGGGTTGGGTTAAGATTTGGTTTAGGGTTAGTTGCATGTATGCATAATTGACTGTTATTATTATAGTAACTACATTTAAAATGTTTAACACGGGCACTGTAAAATGAAGTGTTACCAAAAATGATCACAGTTTCCAAATAAAAGCAGTACAACTGTTTTCATTATTGATAAGAAATATTTCTTCAGCATATTAGAATGATTTTTGAAGGATCATGTGACACTGAAGACTGAAAATTCATCTTTGATATCACAGAAATAGATTACATTTTAAAATATATAAAAACTGTTATTTTATATATTCTGTTTTATTTTTGATCGAATAAATGCAGCCTCGGTGTAAAATCCCATAAAATCTTACCAACCCCAAACTGTCGAACAGAAGTGTTTATGTATGTAATTATATAGTATATATTATGTACTTATAGTTGGTAGGCTAATGCACACTACGTTTTCCTGTAGCTCAACACGAGGAAGTGCACAGTGTGATAAAATATATACCTTAAATGCACTTTTAGGATAAAAACATCTGACAAATGAGGAAATGTTACGCATTTTAGCAACCAATCATTCTTTACAGTGTGTCAAAATCAGCTAGGCAGCGAAAATACCTCAGAATGATGTGTATTAATATGCTCTGTTAAATATGTCAGCACACTCATCAGAAAGCAAAGGCGATGCTTTTGGCAGTCACAGTTGTCTCTCATCATACATTGTAAATGCGCCTGAGCAGAAGTCTCAGTCTGCTTTGCAAACTATTTGAACAAGCTTACAGCGAGCTCATCCAAAGCCCTTGACGGAGATGCTACAACCTATCTGATTAGCTTGGCACAGACTCAAACATGTATGTTTCTAGAGAGCTAGAGTCCTTGACAGCTTTACAGAGTGAAATTCAGTGTGGTAAACAGAGCGGCATTGCAGGTGTGTGCCATTGAGGGGCCTGAGAACAGGCTCTAATGTGTGAAATGGATGATTGAGGCTTGAGTTATGTGAAGAATGCACATTCAGAAGGTCTGATGAGAGCATCGATTAGTCCTCTTGGTAGGGGTTCTCCACCAGAGCCCGCCACCAGAACGGCAAGGAGGGCTTGTTTTGTTATTTGAGACTTGTGGTGTCAGTAGATGATGATAACGATAAGCAGGGACTCGTTTCCATTCATTTTTATGTGCATAAACCTTGGAAAATATCTTGTCGCACTATCTTGAATTATCGTCCATAAGTGCGTTGACATTTTCTGGCTCCACCAAGGTCAATGTATTGCGATTCCAACCCTGTATTTGTTTATTGCTCCTGTACTGTTTATCAGGGTTTCCATTGGAAAATTAGCTCTTGTCTCAGCCCACCCATAGAGTTGGCATTCTCAAATAACTCTATGCTACCCCTGTGCCAACCACTCTCAACCGCTCACCATAACTACTGTGCTTCAGTGAGTTTGTTGACATGGGTTATTGTTTTATTGAGTTTTTTCACATCACCGGAGTATGTTGTGACAGTATGGATGCGTCTTACAATGTGTATGTAGGTTTGTGTGTGTACTGTTCAAGACTTTTTTTCCAAGACATTTGATCAAATGTGTCAGTAAAGACAGTGTTACAAAAGGGTTACATTGAAGTGAAGACCTCGAGTCAACCTCTTGATGCTGTACCTTCAGTGTGTCTCCTTCGCTACCTCCTCCTACTCCTCATCATCATCATCTTCTTCCTCCCTTCGTGGCCCAGCACAGGCAGGCTGCCATGATGTAATTCCTGGGAAGGTTAGGTGGGGAGATATTTAAAGACCCTTGGCAGAGCTCTTTCCCAGCCCATTGATTCTGTCATTCACAGGCCAGGCTGACTCCGCTGTGTCTGGGACATCCGATAGGGGCGGTGCGGCCCCCTGAAAAAACTGGGGCAGCGGGCCGCATAAGTCCCTCACAAAGCCTCACAGAAAGGGTCCTGAAAGAGGACACCTCGAGAAGGATTAGTCACTCTCCCTCCCCTTGCTTACATTCTTTTCATCTTGTCCCATACAATCAGAGAGTAATGACATAATCACTCTAAAACCCAGTGTTTTGCCAGATTTGTCACTGCCAGAAAGCGTCAGTCGGGCTGGGGTCCAATGCAGGGTGACATTCATGGAGATGGAGATCATCTTTACAGGTATAGGTGGGACTTGTTGGATCCTTTCTTGGATATAACCAGGCCTTACTGGTTATCTCACCAAAAGACCAAAAGAGTAGGTCTGCAAGGGTAGAAATATTTTGTTTTGTTTGTTTATTTATCGATTTCTTAATTGACTGTGATCTTCCGATTCATTCTTAAAATCCCAGTATTGATCTATTAATCTGTGCTTAAACTGGCTTCATAAAAACGTACAGCACTTCACATCCTGTAGATCACAGCATTCCATTGAATTACTCACTTCACTGCTTTTTTAAATGTATTTTTTTCAATGTAATGAGTTAAAATGTTCCCTGTACCAGTGTTTCCTGCACCATTTCTCATTTACATTTATACATTAATCTAATTGCGAGCTTGTGAATCTGAATCAGATCTAATCAGGAATCCATACCCAGCCCTACATAAGAGTGAGCAGTGAATGGTGAGAGTGAGTTGGCTTTATAAATAAGAAGTTGTTTAATATCGAAAATGACTATGTGAATAATTGCAGAGAATATACATATCCCAATAAAGGTTGGATATTTACTTGAACACTGGGCTTTTTAGGCCATTGGGTCATTCACATTAGGACACTGAGTATACAGGGATCCTAGGAACACCATGAACAGACATGGTACAAATAACTCAAGTAAGGAAATCTGCACATTTTTTTACTCTCTTATAGACACAACTTTGAACACATTCTCATCCCAAGACGTCATCTTACTGATGCTTTTGATCATACGTCAACATCCGACGTTTTAGGGTACCCTTTAACGTCAGTTAGATGACGATCCTAGGGCGTCATCCAACTGACGCTTTACCTTTTGCGTCAGTTAGATGACGCTGGTAGGTTTAGGTCTGGGGTAGGGTTAGGGTTAGATAGCGTCATCTAAATGACGTTAAAGGGTACCCTAAAACGTCGGATGTTGACGTATGGTCAAAAGCGTCAGTTAGATGACGTCTTGGGGTGAGAATGGGCTCAACTTTGCCAGTAACACTTCGTATGGACATCTCAAACAGTTTTTTGCTAGCTGACATTGAAATATTATGGGTTAAATAGATATGTACTTGATTTGTAATCGTACAATTGTCCTGTTTTCTGTCTTTTGAGTTCAAAATGACTTGTGCGCTTTCGCAGTCTCAAAACCACAGGAGTTCTTTGCCATCTTGGAGAGTGCAGCATTAAGGTACATTGATGTAGATGTTTATCTGAAGCATTTCTCAGCTGTCCATTTGACCTACCACAGATAATAAGGGAAATGAGCACTAGCGCAAACTAGCTCAACGTTATAATTTGCACACAAAGCAGGTGTGAGGCTGCAATCAGACTCTCTTCAACTCTGACTTTTTATGGCGAGAGGAGGGCAGGATAATTCCTCAGTAGATCTCATAATAAGACTTGTGGCTCTCTCTCCCCTCACATGTCTTCACTAGCCAGGAATGCACACTTGATATACATATAAATATCTAAACAATGTTTACTCTGCTACGATGGCATGGAGCAGCGAGAGTTATTGAAACAACACAAAGCCTCATTACTTCGCCGCTTACGTGTTGGTTTTGTGAAGTTATGAGTGTATTCTGACGCACGCATGTTGTTGTGCTTGGTGCAAGTGAAGATAGTGAGTAAATTGAAATCAGGCGTCTTTGATGTCACTGTTTAATGACCTGTGGGTCTATAATGGGCGCATTTCCAGCGTTCCCCCCTGAGTAATAATAACAAAGCGGTTAACTGCCTGTTTCACTGCTCACGTAAGAATGTGATGAAAGAAGCTTTATGGTAACTGGCAAACAAATATTCAACATACATGCAAAAGAAAAACTCTATCTGTCGACCATTTGGAGTGTATTAGTTATCAGACCTTGTCCACAGGGAAGGAATTACAGAATAATGAGGCCTCGGTAATGAAATATACAGTGTTGCCGGGTCTGTTACCTGTTAAATGATGGCCTTTGAAGCTTTCTGCTGCTTGATATCCAGCCAAATAATCATTTCTCTTTCGTATCACTATGTTCTGAGTTCCAAAGCCGTAA